CCCATCCCTATCCTACCCCCATCCTCACTCCATCCCTCTCCCCATCCCCATCCCCACCCTTCCTCACCCCATCCCCTGCCACCCCATCTCCATCCCATCCCCATCCCTTTCCTCATCCCATCCCCATTCCTCTTATCACACCCAGCTCATCCGCACAGAGCATCTCACCATGGGGAGAGCTCAGTGGCTTCTGCCTTTGTCCCACATCTGTGGAGAAAAAGCAGTGGACAGTTGGAGGGAGGATCACATGGTGCAGTGCGGGACCATGTACCATACAGAGCCACACTGCAGCCACAGAAGTGCCATGGTGACTTCAGCACAGCATGGCACTGCACAGCACAGCATGCACTCACCCTCAGCAGCCTCAGGTGCCTCCAGGTTTTCCTCATCCCCCACACCCTCACTGCTGTCTGTGGGTCCGTCCCCATCATCCTCACCCAGCACTTCTGTGAGGCACAACTCAGTGTGAGGACATCCCTGTAGCAGTCTCCCCCCCCTGAGGCAGTGCCTGCCCCACACTGGCACCTGGCTGGAAGTCAATGGTGCGCAGCATCTCGGCCACATGGTCCACATTGATGGAGAAGTGGTCCATGCTCTCATAACCGGGCTCAGGGCGGCTGCTCATCGACACCTTGGACATGTCTGTGATCCTGGGGGTAGAGCAAGCAGCGTGAGCCCTACCCACCTACCCCCTACGCCATCCCCATCTCATTCTCATCCCCACCCCATCCCACCCCATCCCACCCCATCCCATCCCATCCCATCCCATCCCACCCCATCCCATCCCATCCCATCCCACTCTACTGCCACTCACTTCTTCAGGAGCTCCTTGGAGTGCTGTGGGGGAAAGCAGAGTGCCGTCAGCATCCCAGGAACAACGCACCAAGCCGCAGAGCACAGAGCAGAGCCCCCAGCACGCAGCCCCCCCAGACACCTGCAGGTACACGGCCATCTGGGGCTCCTCCATGGCCTGGATGGCCGTCTCCACCAGCTTGGAGGAGGCCTCCAGGTGGTCCCCGTACTGCCGGATGAGGCCGCGCACGCGTTGCACCTTCGCCTCCTGCTCACGGGTGACGCTCTGCAGCAGCTCCTTCTTGCGCTCCTCCAAGATGCTGCAGAGCGAGTCGAAGCGCAGCCCCACGTGTTGCTTCTGCCGGCGGCCGTTCTCCTGCGGGACCCCCCAGGGGCTCAGGGGGCTGCCATGCTCTCAGCCCAGCCCTACTGATGGCATTGCCCCAGGAACACCCACATTCCGTGCCTGCAGCGGGCATTTCCCTCCCAAGAGCGTCCCACGAGGTGGACACAAGCCACGGCGTGGGGGTCACAAACCACGCAGACCCCACACACGGGGTCTGGGGGCAGGGGGGAGGGAATGCACACACAGGGCAGCCCCACCTCGATGGTGCGGCAGATCTCCTCCATCTGCGTGATGATGGCCTGGATGCGGTCGTTCCCCGCCACCAGCATGGCGATGCCGTCGCTCAGCTCGCTCTGGGGGGCGGAGCAGCGTTGGGATCGCGCCGGGAAACCTCCCCACCGTGCCCACCCCCCCCCCAACCCTGGGGGTATCCCACCTTCTGGCGCTGGTACACGGCGGGCAGAGGGGCGACCTCGCAGTCCTTGTGAGCGCCGAACACCTTGCAGAGCGAGCAGGTGGGCGCCTCGCAGCGCAGGCAGTAGATGTTGATGCGCTCGTCCTCGTGCTCCTCGCACATCAGATGTTGCTCCGCCTTCGCGTGCAGGGGGCTGCGGGTCGGGGTGGGAGGTGGGGAGAGGGCGCTGCGCCCCAGGGCACAGCCCCACGGCACCCCTCTTCCCTATAGCATCCCCCGCCCCACCGCACCCCCAGCCCCACAGGAGCCCCTTTACCCCAAATCCCCACCCTCGAGCCTTATTTCCCCTCGTGTTCCCTGCGCAACCCCCCATACCCCACACGCCACGGCACCCCCCTGCCCAACCTCACCCCACGGTGCCCCCAAGCCCCTCAGACGCCCCCTTTAACCCCAATTCCCCCACCCCCCAAAAAACGGGCTCCCTCCAATCCGTGTCCCGCCCCGCCCAACCGTGGGCCGCCCCGCACCGCGCGGACTCCTGCTTGTAGATGTCGATGATGTTCTCCACCAGCAGGTTCCGCTGCAGCCCGTACACCCCGTGCCGGTCCAGCACCACCTCGTGGCGGCACGACGGGCACCGGAACCGTCCCCCGGACGGCCCCGCGCCGGAACCCCGCGACTGCCACAGCGGGTTGGAGGCCTAGGGGAAGGGGACGGGGTGGAAGGGGAGAGCAGGGCGGGGGGGGTCAGCGCGCCGCTTCGGGAGAGAGACCCCCCCCTCCTCCTCCCGTGCACGGAGCCCCCAACCCAGGGCACAGCGCACCACGTCCTGGCGCCCCGCCTCGCCCCGCACCTGGAAGACGTCGTTGGCGCACTTGCGGCAGAGGTTGTGCTGGCAGGGCAGGATGACCACGGGCTTGGTGAACATCTCCAGGCAGATGGGACAGATGAGCTGCTTCTCCAGGCTCTCCATGCTGCGCGCTTCCGCCAGCAGCGGCTTCAGCCCCACCGCGAAATTCATCGCCGCGGTCCCGGTACCTCTCCGGTACCGCTCCTGTCCCGCACTGCCCCGTTCCGGCCCCGCAGCTCTAATTTTAGCCGCCCCCGCCCCGTCGGGGCCGCGCAGCTGTCGGCGGCGTCGGGTGACACTGAGTCACGGCGGGCGGCCGTCCCACCGCCGGGGTCACTCCGTCCCGACGCCCCCCGGGAGCGGCACGGCGCTGCCCCCACCAGCCCAGCCCAGCCCCACCGCCGCCCCTCCGAGACAAGAGACCACGCCGCCGAATTCCCCCCCATCATCCTTTAATGGTGCTCATAAAATCTATACAAACCCACGGAAAGTGCCTGAAGGGTCCCAGCCCCATAGCGAGCGCGGTGCGGCCCCGCGGTGGGGCAGAGAGGGGGCACGGCGGGCGGCCCCTCCTCTCCCTCCTCCCAAACCCCCCACCCCACCCCGTCAACCCCAGAGCAGCGTTTGGCACCCAGCGCCCGTCAGGGGGGTCCGGCCCCGCGGTTACAGTGCTACCGGTCTCGGTCACAGCGCTGCAGGACGTTTTCACCTGAGATTGTGCCCCCCCCACGCCCCCTGATGGGGTCCTAGGGAGCGGCGGTGGTCCAGGAGGAGGCTCTCCACCCCCCCTCCTTCCCCTCCCCCGGCACATAGGCAGCCCTATGCCTCGCTCCTGGCTCCGGCAGCGGGCAGGGGCTGTGCACCGCTTGGGGAGGGCTGCGCTTCCACCGGGTCCTGGGGGTCTGGAAAGAAAAGGTGTGGATCAGTTGACCTGAGGAGAGGTCCTGGGGGCCCGGGCAGTGATATGGGGCTGCCTGCTGGCATCAGCACAGTCCTCACGTTGCAGACCCTGAGGAATCCAAGGGAGCTCCCAGCCCATGGGTCCCACCAGCCCCCAGCCCTGCGGCCCCCCCCCTGCAGGTCCCTGTGAACCGGGAGCATCGCATGGGTCACGATTTCAGACCCCGACTCACCGCCGCCATCGTCCGCCTCCAGGTCCTTGGGGTCGACGTACTTATAGGACTCGTCTTCACGGGGCGGGCAGCACCTCCCACAGCAGAAGAAGCAGCAGCAGAAACAGCAGCAGCAGGTCAGCACGCCGCAGCACAGCGCCAGGGCCTGCAGGATGGGATGTCTCAGCCTGCAGCTCCCCACAGACCACTGAGGCTACCCTGAGACCCCTGGGACACCCTAAGAGCCTCGGATTGCCATGAGAGCCACGGGGCTGTTCTGAGACTCCAGGGCCCAGCTGCCATGTGATCCCCAGGGCCACTATCAGACCCCAGGGCCACATGAGACACCAGACCCAGATACTGAGATCCCAGGGCAGCCTTCAGACCTCTGGGGCCACCCTGAGACCCCGGTGTCCAACTGCCATGAGAATCCCAGGGCCACTGTAGGGCACCTGGAGCCACCCTAAGACATTTGGGTCCCCCTAAGATCCCAGACCCAGGCACTGCGAGTCCCCAGGGCTGCGTTGAGACTCCTGGAGCTGCACATTGAGCCACCTAGAGCCCCATTGAGACTCCAGACCCAGGCACTGTGAGACTCTGTGGCTGCATTGAAACCTCTGAAGCGTCACTGAGACCCTCAGGGTGACCCTGAGACCCAAGTGTCCAGCAGCCATGAGATCTCCAGGGCCACTGTAAGACCCCGGGAGCCACCGTGAGACCTCAGGGCCCTCCTGAGACCATAGACCCAGACACTGTGAGAAACCAGGGCTGCCTTGAGACCCCTGAGTCTGCACATTGAAACCTCCAGGGTCACTCTGAGATGGTCAGGGTCACCCTGAAATACCAGTGGCCAGCTGCTATGAGAATCCCAGCACCACTGTAAGTCCCTGGGAGCCATCATGAGACCCTAGGGCCCTCCTGAGACCCCAGATTCAGACACCGTGAGACTCCAGGACTGCCTTGAGACCCCTGGAGCCTCACTGAGACCCCCAGTGTCCAGCTGCCATGAGAATCCCAGGGCCATTGTACTATACCTGCAGCCACGCTAAGACCCTAGACCCAAGCACTGTGAGACTCCAGAGCTGGTCTAAGACCCCTGGAGCCTCGCTGAGACCCCTGGAGCCACCCTGAGATCCCAGTGTCCAGCTGCCCTAAGATTCCCAGGGCCACTGTAAGACCTCAGGAGCCACCACGAGACCTCAGGGCCCTCCTGAGACCCCAGGGCTGCCTTGAAACCCCTGGAGCTGCACATTGAAACCTCTGGGGCCACTCTGAGACAGCCAGGGCCACCCTGAAATCCCAGTAGCCAACTGCCATGACAATCCCAGGGCCACTGTACAACACCTGGAGCCACCCTAAGACATTGGGGCCCCCCTAAGATCCCGGACCCAGGCACTGTGAGATCCCAGGGCTGCCTTGAGACCCCTGGAGCTCCATTGAGCCCCCTGGGGCCACCCTGACACCCCAGTGTCCAGCTGCCCTGAGAACCCCAGGGCCATTGTAAGACCTTGGTATCCACCATGAAGCCTCAGGGCCAACTGAGACCCCAGACCCAGACCCTGAGAGACCCCAGGGCTGTCTTGAGACCCCTGTGGCTGCACATTGAAACCTCTGGGGCCACTCTGAGCTGCTGAGGACCACCCTGAAATCCCAGTGGGCAGGTGCTGTGAGATCCCCAGGACCACTGTAAGACCCCAGGGCCACATGAGACCCCAGATTCAGACAATGTGAGACTTCACGGCTGCCTTGAGACCCCTGGAGCCTCACTGAGACCTCAGGGCCACCCTGAGACCCCAGTGTTCAGCTGCCCTAAGATCCCCAGGGCCACTGTAAGACCTTGGAAGCCACCGTGAGACCTCAGGGCCCTCCTGAGACCCCAGTCCCAGACACTGTGAGACCCCAGGGCCACCTAAGACCCCTGGGGCTGCAAACTGAAATCTCTGGGTCCACTCTGAGATGGCCAGGGCCACCCTGAAATCCCAGTGGCCAGCTGCCCTAAGATCCTCAGGACCACTTTAAGACCCCGAGAGCCACTGTGAGACCCCAGGACCCTTCTGAGACCCCAGACCCAGACAGACCCTAGGGCTGCCTCGAGACCCCTGGGGCCACTTTGAGATGCCCGTGGCCACTCTGAGACCCCGGTGTCCATCTGCCCCGAGATCCCAAGGTCACTGTAAGACCCCCGGCGGCACCGTGAGACCCCCACGCCCAGCTCCTCGGCGCCCACCTGGAACCACCACTGGGACATGAGGAAGTAGTGACGGACGGCATCGTCTCCGAACTGCTCGGCCACGTAGAGGCCCAGCGATCCGTACTGATCGTACAGCCGTCTCCGGTCGGCGTCGCTGAGCGTGGCGTGAGCGCTGTTGATCTCCTTGAAGCGTTCGGCCGCCGCCGGGTCGTCCGGGTTCTTATCGGGGTGGTAGCGCAGCGCCAGCTTCCTGGGGGCACACGGGGACACGGGGCGGTCCGGCACGGCCCGCTACCGAGCGCTACGGCCGCCCCACGTCCGCCGTACCGATACGGAGCGGTACGGAACAGCACGGCCCGCCCCGCGCCCGCCGTACCGGTACGCCCGCTTGATCTCCTCGGGCGAACTGCCCTTCTCCAGCCCCAGGACGCGGTAGAGGCTCTCTCCGACCCTCGACAGTTTCCGCTGCGGCCTGCCCGGCTCCGCCATGGCCGCGGCAACGGCCGGAGGGCAGCGGGCGCGGGGCAGAGCCCGGCCGGGCCGGCAGGGAGCGCGGAGCCGCGGCCGCTTCCTTCCGTCCGTCCGTCCGTCCGTCGGACACCGCCCCGAGCGGGCGGAGCTTGGGCTGCGGGGCGGCACGGCGGAGGGCTGCGAGCGCCAGGCACCGACCCCCAGCCTCCCACACCGACCCCCAGCCCCTAGTCCTCATCCCCCAGGTCTACCCCCACCTCCCCAGCTCCTCCCATTTGCCCCCCCAAGATTAGTCCCCTCACTAGCCCCCACCCCCCCAGCCCCCAGGATTAGTCCCCCCACCAGCCCCCAACCCCCAGGTTTATCCCCCCAGCCCCCAGCAACAAGCAGCAGGCCCCAGTTGGTGCCCGCCCCATTGGGGTCACCCCCTAACATCACCCATTGCCACACACTCAGTCCCCACGCCGGACACCTCCGCAGCGCTGTGCCTCCCCCCGCCACCCCCCTCCTTTTTCCCCCCTCTCCTCGCTCTGAGCCATCGGCGGTGGCCGCGCTGCTCCTTTATTCCGGTACAAAACGAAGGCGGCCACGTACAGTACGGAGCGGGCGGCAAAGCGGAGGGGGGGCCCCACTGCCCCCATGGCCCCCGGCCCGAAGAACCTGAGCAAGAAGCATGGCACGGCCCAGCCCTGGAGGGATGGGGGGGCCCGAGGAGCAGCCCTTGCCCCAGCGTGGTCCCCTCCCCCCAAAAAGCAATCTTCGGGGGGCCAGTACGGCCTCACCGCCACGAGGCTGGAATGCAAAGGAGTGTTTGAATATCAAACCTCCCCCTCCCCACCCCCCACGTGCCACGCGGGGGTGACGGAGCGCAAGGAGAAATCCCCCCCATCCCTGATGGTCTGCAGCAGCGCCGAGGGGGCGGCTACTCAGAATAAATACAAATAAATACAGATTCCAGCAACGCAGGACCCGACCCGGGATCCCGCTGGGTGGGTGGGGGGAATGGTGGCACTGTGCCCCCCCGGGGCCGGCGGGCTCAGCAGTCCATGGCTTCGCTGTCGGTGCAGGCAGGTGGCGCGTCGGTGCCGAAGTACCTGTCCCCAAAGTTCCCTGCGGGAGACAGGGAGAGAGGTGAGCGGGGTGACCGACAAGAGCACCTCCCCCACTCCCCCTCCCGCCCTCACCGATGCCGGGGATGATGTGGAACTCCTCGTTGATCCTCTTGTCCACGGCCGTGGTGATGATGCGGACTCGGGGGAAAGCGTAAGCCACCGAGTGCACCCCCATCTCGGCCATCAGCAGCGACAGCAGGAAGATGCGCTCCTCCGGCACGTCGTGGTCCTGCAGCACGGCACCATCAGAGCCCTGCCCGCGCCCCCCCGGTGGGCTGTGAGACCCCCACCCTGCCCGGCCCCTCACCAGCAGCACGCGTACGGCCATCATGGCAGCAGCGCCGGTGGACAC